TGTACAGAAATACGTAAATATGGGGAAGCAAACAGCGTTCTGCTTCCTGTTTCAATCCACTGTCTCTGTTTGTTTCCTCTGAATTCAACGCTCACAATCAGTCTGCTGCACTGGCATCCTCCAGTCTGGCTCAATGGAAATAAAACGAGAGCTGGAGCCTATTGTTTCCAGTTTCACTCTTCCCGGCATGTGCCAGCTGGTTTAGTACCAACTACTTAAAAAGAATTCAAAGGAACTGAATCTTTTCCAAGATGATTTCCTTCCCTGTCTCCCTCAGGGCCCCGCAGTGTGAAAGCAGCTCAGTGAAAGTGACAATAACCAGGACTTGTGTGTGCGTACGCCTTCTTTTACGTGAGGGGCGTTAAGCTGCCGCCATCTGTGCACGTATGCGTGTATCAACATGTGTGTGTGCCCGGCCGCCCCCCCACCGCGCAAACATGTTTCAGGCCTGTGTTTAATCACCTGCCAAATGGTTGAGGCCCTGCGAGCGGAGGAAATGGGGGTTCACTGTAATGTGAAGCATGTGAAGGTCATCACGGCCGAGCGCTCCGGTGACAGGCTGATTGAAAGGAGGGTCTCTGCATCGTTTACCCATCCAAATATATTTACATGGACCTCCACGCTTCGCTACAAATGTATTTATTTAGTCAGAGTTTGTCCGGTTCAGCTGCACAGATTGAGTGTTTGATGTTAAACAACGAGGGGCCTCAATGTTTAGAGTCTCGGCCCCGAACTGGAATCAGGCTCTCAGGACTGAAGATCGGCTGAAGACCTCTAAAGAGCTGTATTATTATTATTATTATTATTATTATTATTATTTGCATCACATCCTCAGTTAGTTATATTGATCCCCTATTTAACAATGTATGAGTGTGTGTTTGCAAGCTGGAAAAAAAGCTCATTTTGTTTTAATATTTTATCAAGCTTATATTAATATTGTCACAAACGTCAAAGATCACCCACACCGCCACGACTTTGCAGGAGGGGAAACACTGAATCTAGAGCAAGCAGAAGTTGATTTTGGAGCGTTGGAGGTTCTCGTCTGTAGTCCGTCCAGGTTTTGTCTTGCATGGGGTCTGAAAATGGGCCCTGTGGAGAGCAGGCAGGAGACAGTTTTCTTTCTGTCTCTCTTTGTCCTCAGTGTTGTTTGTCTCTTTGTGTGGAATGTGTATGAAACAAACCAGCTGACGGACTGGCAGAGCTTCAGCGGGCCCAACCACCCTGTCTGATCTTTTAAAGGGGCAGTAGGTCAAGTTTTTACTCTCTCATAACTGGGATGTTACATATTTGTGGAGCCTCAATTAACAACTCATTAAGGCTGAAAATGTACGCTTGAAAACATATATGTCATTGTCAGCATGGGCACGTCTTTTAATTAGGTTGGCATGGCCTGTAAAGGGGAGACTCGTGGGTTCCCCATGAGCCCGTTTACATTCATGGATGTTGAGGTCGGAGGTCAAGGGATATCTTAAAAAATGGCCATGCCAGTTTTTCCATCGCCAAAATTTTGCCTAACTTTGAAGCGGTATTTATTCTCCTTCCTGACATGGACACTGTTGGTACCGATGGATTCGTTACGTCATCTAGTTTTATATTATACTATCATATGATTCACTCTTTACAACGGAGCCCGCTACAGCCTCTTACAGAAAGAATTCATTATAAGAATGTTGTGGAGTCCACCATGTTTCTACAGTAGCGCAGAGCGGACAAATCAAACACCGGCTCCAGACAGAACCGTAGTTTCTCACACAGGCTTGGACCGGCAGGGCGAGACGAGGGATTTGCAATCTGCAATTTAGATGATCACTAAATCCAATATACTGGACATTTGAGTACCGTAACAAAGTATTTGTGTTACTTCCCACTTCTGACTGTTGGATAAACACAATGCTGACAGATAAAACAAAAAAATCAGTGTTTGACTCTGGTTTGAGCAGCCTGTACACGCCCGCCACCAGCATCCAAAAGCTGTAAACAATCAAGACTGCAGCTACAGAGTTTAATCCCAGCAGAGGAGGAGCGCAGGATCCAGGACTGTGGCGTTTAAGGTCTCTGAGCTCAGGTTCTCAGACTGCTGCTTTACCGAGATTACCTGCACAGCTGGAACCTCTTTGACTGATCTAAGCTCTTGGCTGAAATCACCCGTTTCACTGTAAGCTTTAAGCGAGCGCTCTTGGAAGATCACAACAATCCTGCCATTAAAAAACATCTTTTTAACGAGAAAAAAAAAGCTCATTAAAACAGGCTGATGAGGATCCGAGCTCACAGCTGCTCACCATGTTTGTCATCAGCTGTCGGCACTGTAATTTCTACCCAGACCCACCAAGAGCAAGATCTGCCCCGGAGGCTCCAATTAGTACCGACCCTGGACGAGGCCGCGATCGCAGCGACTTTACATGTTACGAGCACATGTTTGAACGCCGTCGGTGAAGAGACTAAATGTTTGCTGTCACAACATTTCTCCGCCCACAACGATTAAAGTCGATTCTGGATCAATAACTGCTCTCACTTCATTACTCAACAGAAGAGCCAAACTCTCCAGCTGTGGCTCCCCAACGTTCAACATATTCCAGCAGCATTACTCACTGACAGTCACACATAAACTATTAACATCTCCAGTAACTCATATTTCTCCTGTATTAGCCTCTCTACACAATTTAAAATCCTCCTCCTCACCTACAAAGCTCTTCATGGTCAGGCTCCTTCATATCTCAAAGAGCTCATAGTACCCTATTACCCCACTACAACTCTG